TTAACGGGGTGGTCGTATTAAAGGGGTTCTTTAAATAAGAAAATGACTGACTGAGCCTTTTTTGGGCCAGAATAACATGGCTGCAATAACAAGATGGTCGTATTAACGGTATGGTCGTAAGGCGGGGTTCCACTGTGACATCTTTAAGTCTCTTATAGATCGATATTAATACAGTCATCTCCTAATAACTCAAACATTCAGGGGTAATCTAAAAAGGTTCGGGTTATCAGAAGTTTGAGTTATCGGGAGTTGAGAACAAATGTCTGGAAATCAGGAAAAAACAGAAACGGAATGAATGGAAATTAATTTTGGTTGGAGTTAGTGCAAGGTTTGAGTTAGCGAGGGTTCAAGTTATCAGGAGTCCACTGTAATGCAACTGTGTAAGTGTGAAGCTAGAACTACTCAAGATACTTAAATTTTAGGGATAATTTCTCAAACCTTAAAATCAACAGCCAGTTTTTCCATCTCCTTGAACCTTTCTTCACTAAGAACAGGTCTAACTGATTCCAAATACTGAAAAATACACAAGCAATACAAATTGTGATTTATTTGTTGCAATAAAGATGTGTCAACTCCGGTATTCGACATTCATTAGACTTTAGATAACTTACTCTCCCTGTAGTGGCTTCAAGATCTGGAACAGGTAGGTAAGGTAAAGATTTCTCATAGCTGTAGAGAGTTGGGTTCTTTCCACCAAGAAGTTTTACTAAGCCCTGTAATCACAAAATAGTTTTTGTAAAGATGTGTACCTAGGGCCATGTAAACAAAGTTTGGAAAACATCTGAGAATGCCATGTTCTGAACTACAGTCATGTACATGTAGATTTATATGTAGTACAATAGCCACACATGTTATGCCAATCATCCACATCACAATAATAAGATTTAGTCTCCGCATACCAGGAGGTCAATAGAAGCTTCAAGTACATATAGATCAGGAGTTGTAAACAGTCTTGAACGTTTACATGATGTCACATTGAAAGCACATGCAGCTGGGGGAATATTTTCTCATGAATTAATTTTTAACAAAAATTTTGTTAGTCCCTTTCAGTCTGCTACATTTTACTGTACTTATTTAGACGGTGAGAAAGCAAAGTTAGGGATGTAGTTAGCTTTCATGTTCTGTATGACAAAAGATAAAACTAAAACAAACTTACCAGCCAGCATTTGGTTTTTAATGACAGCTTCCTACAGCAAAAGATAAGGAGTTTTTAAAACTATGTTTACTTATTTGTTTCCAGTATTTAAGAGTAAGTTGTACTTTTGACTAACATCAAATTGAAACTAAAATTTTTAAATACTAGCCCTTCCTGGACAAATACTCAAATGTGTAAGTATCTGTAGTGTTCGCATTAAATAATGTGATAAATTCAATGTTCTATGATCTCTAGATACATGTATATGATCAAACAATGTAGCTTGGGCAAAAAGATACATGTAGTTTATTTTATCACCTAAGTTGAGGAAAAATTAAACTTACTTTCCTGAGGTTAGGTGTAACTGCCTGGCTTACTAAAGTACAGACCTGGCAAATAAATCATATGACTGTACTTTAACAAGATATACAACCTTACCCTCTTGGTTCATACAGAAATGCTCTATAACGTAGCAACTGACGAAGAGTGAATTGATGAATATGACCAATCAGCATCCATAGTATTGTCGCACACAACAACACAGCAACTGCTATTACTGTTTTAGGGTCTAAACTATGCCTCCTACAAAAAATAAGATAAGTAGTGGCAACTATAATATTGGCAAGTTACTGAGTACATAAACTTGTGATAACTGGACACTTGCTTGATAAGAGATAACCACTAAGTTTATCACAAAAATGTTGAATCTTATTCTGATCAATATAAGTACTGTATTTTCATGTAGTGCAGCCCCTTCCAGGTATTCAGTCAGTTTGCAGTTAGCTTGAGAAACAAAGAGTGGAAGAAGGGCAAGGAATGTTTTTCAAGACTTGCTACTATTCATACAACATTGTAACAATAACAATAATGGTCCTACATATTGTTCTACTTTAAAACACACCAGTCACTGGCTATCGAACATCGTCTTTTGTTTGAAATCAGGGTAAGCTAACATTACTGTTTAAAGACCTCTGATCAAAATATGCTAGCAAGTGCAAACATTTAACCTTGACAGATTAAACTCTGACAAGTAACTAATTCAATTATTGATAGATGTTCCTACTACATATGTAAGGAGAGGGTATTCAGGAATGTGATAATCCAGGAGTGAACGAAGGTAGCAGGAAGTGTATTGGAGGCAGAATAAGGAGGGCAGGAGATGGGACTCCCAAGGTCAATAGAAGAAGGGGAAATAGGAATAAGGAAGTCTATATTAACTTCTTCCCTGTCCAAGTTTATCAGAACGTCATCCCCTACACCTGCTTTCCCCCTCACCTCAAACCTCCTGTCCCCTTTTCGGTGTGTGCTTCGATATCGATGTAATGCTTGTGTTACACTAAAGACTTTACATCATCTCTTTTTATTTGTATTTATCTGGCCAACTAAATAATTAGCAAGTGTTAAAAACACTTTTATGTATTCTTTTTAAGAAAATACACTAGCCCCAAATTCTGAGTTTGGCTCAAAGAATCGAAAGTTGTTCCTATGTGAAAACCTGGTGATCGTCAACTGAGGGCAAATTTCTTGACGCTTATCGTAATCACCTGGCCACCTGATATGTAACTTTTAATAAATTGATATTGTAACCAGAAAATAATAGCTTTTGTCCAGTTTAGCAAAACAAAAAGGCTTAAAAGGAACGATCCCCTATAAAGAACACATAATCATGTCCGTCATGAGCTTAGCCGGGCCATTTGAAATATTCAACGTAAACGAAAGCATATCTCTTAGCGAAAAGAACACCCAAAGAGAAAAAATATTAAAGCTTAAACTTATTTAAACTTATAATATCAGCAAATTTAAATAACCTCATGACTAACAGTGTGGTTTTCTAACGACACACAGTGAAATGTAAAGTTTATCAAAACTACCTTACGAAGCGGGCAAAGTCCAAGTACTATTACTACTCACCAGGGCATTCCACGCTCCAGCTTTCCTAAAACTCCCAGTGTAGTTTCATGCTCTGTATATCGAGCAGCGCTTAGTGCAGCCACGAGAAGAATCCAGGTTGCCGGCGTTGCAGGGAACGATCGTTTCAGGATAGCCTTTTTCGCGCCCTTTACCCGCCGCTTAGCAGACTTCATCATGGCCCGGCCGACAAACTTCAAAGCATTTCTGTCAATGTTGACGAAAATTCCCTCTTCTGTTACTTGGAATTGAAACGCGACGCCAAGTCTCGCTTCAGCCATGTTGAATCCTTGAGAACACCACAAGATTATTTACGTTATTTGCCGTAAACGGTAATAAGTTAGCCCTTGAACAAAAGCGTTGCGTGTTTTTGTCCGTAAATAACACGCACACCTCCACAACTCCTCTCACACCAGCGAATAAAATAAACACAGGGTTCAAAGTACACTTGGCCTCGTTCCCGCGTGAATGCGAAGAATGTTTGGCTGTGCTGTGCTTTGTAACTTTCTTGTCCCAAATTATTTTTGATATTGTAGAAGAAACTTAACGTATCTCTCCTTTAATATCTTTTCTAAAAATTGCATAACCAGCGTAAGGATATAAAACGTACCGACAAGCCAACGCAAAGTAACCATGGGGGAGCATACGCAGAAGTGTCCTGTGGAGTTTCTGTGACTCAGTCAGGACACGGTCGACACGCGAAAGAGCGAGCTACAGCTACTAGTTTAGACTGCTGTGACTGCTTTAAAGTTGTCATCACGTATGCGCGGTACCCGGCACATACCATAACAAATATCTAGGAAAAATTGGGTGATCCACACCTCTCACTTGCTGGAGTGGCTAGCCAACTTGAGTGCTAGCTTGCCCTCTACCAGATTTACCGCTCGCCAAGAAAAATTGTGAACTATGTTCGTGATGGCATTTTCTTAGTTTGTTTTTCCATATGAAATTAAATCTAAACCTCTATTCCTCCTTTTTGGTATGTTCTTCCGGGTAGACTGTAGCCCTAAGCTTCTTCTTCCGCATCTCAGAACATTTCACCTTTTCTGGCAAACATTGTTCCTTGTTTACCCTTTTTGGGACGTCTTCGTCCACATTTTATGACCCTATTGTCTTTTAGGCAAATCTTCCGTGTTTCTTCTTTTCACCACGGGAAGGGTAGGCTGTGGTGGTCTAGACACCCCTCCCCTCCTCCGCTCCCCGACCAAAGTTATTGTGAGCCTGTCACGCATGTTGGTCAGTTAAAAGATAGTACTGCGCATGTACGAAAGTGGAGTTAACTTTGAAAACGAAAGCACTGAAATCGTAGCCAAAATTTACCTCAAAATATCAACCTGGAATTAATTTCGTCAGGATACAGTTGAAGCAGGTGATTCTATTAGTATATTTAAGCAGAGACATTTGTCATAGTTGAAATCTATGCTGAGAACGGTAGGGTTTTTGAAGGTTGTTCTGATGTCATTTTGCCTTGTTTGGCATAGAACAAACAAGCTTTTTCAGGACGTAAAATTGGCATGTATGCTTGAACATGCTTATAAATATAGGTAACATATAATAGGTCGTCACTTGCGCTTGTGAATTTACCTATAACGGTGTGTATTGGTTTAGACGTATAAGCTGGCATGCATCCCTTCAATAATGTAAAACAAGCTACTTTGCCACCCCCCACCTTACAATCGTAACACAATTCCTTTCTACTTTCACCTACCTCTCGAAGAATGCGCACAGAAAGNGATTTTCTTAAATATTATTCTCAAGTGCAAATCTGTCTTCTCTCCGATCTTGTCTTGGAATTTTCCTGTGGTGAAAACTATCAATGTGTGAGGATGTTGGTTAAAGTTGGTCTTCCTACTTCACGTTCTCCGTTTTTTTTTTTCTTTTTTTTTTTTCTTTTTTTTTTTCAAAATTGACGTAACTCATTAATGACACAGAGTACAAAACAATCAAGGTACTTGCTATTCTTCAGTCATGGGCTTCTGCTCATCTGATGTCAGACATGTAGAGCACAAGGATCCTGTGCCACCCTGTTTTTTTTTCTAAAAATAATTACTTTGAAACTAGTTGATCAATAGAAACATGTATGTGAGCCATTTGTAAAGTTTTTTTCTACATACTGTAAGGTATCTTTTGATGGGATGGTTACTAGCAGTTAGCTGTTTCTCCATGAGGCTGTAAACAAAATTTGTTAAATATGGTGTAATTTTATATTTCTCTCCTAAAGTTTATAAAACGCATGTAGAAACTGGCCACTTTCTGTTTATATAGTTATGATGTAAATACCTGAGTGAGTTAGTGAAAGTCCCTATGCAAACTGTTGTTAATGGTTTGAATTAACACAAACCTTAGAATTTTCCCATGCATACTCTTGTGCTTATGTTGTGATACTATAATTTCAATATACTGAAAATTATAACAAAATGTGGACTTACACCGCCTTTGATACCACATACAAAGATAGAGCCAAAGGACACAAATAATGCTTCTGTTATTCTAAACACAAGCTGATTTACCTTAATTAGGAGCCACGCTAGTTGATATACCATGAAGTGAATTTATTTGTAGTGCAGAGCTGTTACGTGATCACATTTAAGATTTGTTCAACCAGAGTAAACAAATATACATGTATGTAGTGGAACTCTGATTATTTGAAATTCCCAATAATTAGGAGATTCAAAAACTCGGTATCCTACTTTACATTTATAATATTATTATTATTCAAAGGATAAGGCACGGTATATTAAGTTAATGTTTATCATGCTGGATTCCAGGTTGAGTGGTTCGGATTTGTGCCATAGCCAGGGTGATCCCATTTTGTTCTTGGGCAAGACACTTTGCTCTCATTGCCTCTCTCCACCCAGGTGTATATTTATAAATGGGTACTGGTCAATTTAATGCCGCACGGTAACCTTGCAGTGGACTACATGTATATACAGTCATACAGCATCCCATCCAGAGGGGAGGAGAAATACTCCTGATCACTTAATGCTAAAGATACCAGGATAAGCTCAAGCTGCATGGATCACTTGGCACAATGCAGCCTTTACCTTACTGATTATTCAAAGCAATCTTTGTCCCTCCAGGCAAAAAAAGCTGTTAGAATGTTACCCTTGGTTTTTCACACCTCTCAGTATTTTTTCAGACCAATTACTGTACCTTTCCCTGTTGTGCTATTTTCTACCTTAAAAACACACTTGCTAGTCACAGATGTCATTTGTGTGGAATACATGTGTGTATTAATAAGTGACATAACATTATTATTATTTCATATCAACTCTTTCTTTCCATAGGTGCTGGCCAGCCTGTATTTCATTTTATCGTTTTCAGCTCATGGCTCACCATCGCCCTTTGGGCGATCCGCTCTCTGGAATAAACCAGTGAGAAGGATAAGTTATTCATTTGTCTTATTCTTTTATGACCATCCTTGAGACAACTCCATTTACTCTATGAGTATGTAAAGTGTGTTTGATTAGTATACATTCAAACCTTGCTTTAAACAAGTACATGTATATCGCCACTTGGTTATTTCTTGCAAGGGTCCTCTTTGGATTAATAAGAAGGTGTCCGTGTAGCCAATCGGATGCATGTATGACAATACAATAGTCAGCCACTGGGTTATGCTAAATAGATAATTTACTTATAACTAATATAAGGTTCTATTTTGGACCATATTTTTGAGTTCCTTATTTTTGTTTCATCCTGTATTTCAGATACTCATTCCCTCCTAGAAAAGGTCAGCAAGAACTTTCTCCAGGTAATACAATCTTTTAATTTTTGTTAGCTACATGCACATTTGCTGTAATTTTTATTGTGTTTTTAAAAATAATAACCTCTTACTCAACCAAGCATGAGGTCTCTGCTGGGGAATATTGGCCTGAGGTCATGGCAGTCCATATAAAAATGACCAAGGGCCAATATTCTCCTGTATGGCTAGACCAAGTTATGTTAGTAATTTGTTTATTATAATTTTATGGCACTTGACAGCTTCAAGTAATTTATCTGTAAAGCTATTTTACGAAAGCTTGCCACCGTTAGGATTCTATTTATTTATTAACTAATGCCCTTTATTGGCTTATCAAGCCATCATCAGTTACTGTTGATTGACAACTGGACAGTTCTCTTACCTTTGTGTAGGCACCAAACTTTTATTTTATACAGCAGAATTGAGTTGTATAATTCTGACAAAAAAGATTCAATACAATATACATGTAATAATGGAAGAACTTTGTCATTTCCAATCACCTTAAGGTGGCAGAAAAAACATGGCAGCAGCTATTGGCTCCTTGAAAAAAAGGTTGCCTGTTTTCAATGATGAGGGTGATGATGATTATGGATCAGCTGGAATGTACTTCAATCCTTCAATGTTTCCTCCTCACAGGCCAGAGAAAGAGGTTAAAATTAAATGCACTTAACTTATGTAATTTACTCGTAGTGTCTTGTGAATAGTGATGCAGCCCACTTTTTTGTGATGAGAAAAAATTAGCATTGGATATTACAAAGATCTTATTAGCACATGTACAATTTGTGGAATATTGGGCTGGTTGCAGCTGGCAGTTCCACATGTACATGTATGTTAATACAGGGTATTAATTTGGTTTTTTAGGGCACCATTGATGCTCCTAGGTGCAGTGTCTCCTCTTCTTCCCAAACTTTCATGAATGTTTCTATAACGTTTTAAAAACAAATACAAAGTGTGTCATTTTTCATTTAGAAACAACTGCAAGAAAAAAAGGAAAATCACTCTTTCATTTCAATTATCAAAATACAAATGCCTTTGCTTTACCATGGTTACATGCTAGTTCTGTGTTTCCATCAAGTTATAAAAGTACAACTAAATTAGTATAGTGGTTTTCATACAGGATGTTTTCAAAATTTAATTTGGTTAGACCACATCTTAAAGTGGATGATAAATACTAACTAACCAACTGACAAAGGAAGTTTCTTTGCAGCCTCATCTTGGGAGTCTATATGGCACACCTTCAGGCATGCAGTCACCTGGACCTCACCAATCTAATTTTTATGGCTCAGGGCTCCCTAGTTCAGGTATAAACTTTAAACTGATGTCCAGCTCTGTTATCTTGCTTGTGCAATTGCTTTGTTCTTATATTGCAGAAATTCTGTTGAATCTTAATTGATGAGTTTACTGATATTTTTGTCAGGTCTTCCTCCGAATGTCAATTCCATGCAGGTTCCACCAAATGCTCCAAGAGGAATGTCATCTGCACAGGTAATGTGCATTAAGCAATTAAATATTAATGCTACTGATTTTGTAATGAAACATTACATACAGCACTCTTTAAAATTTAAAATTTTTAAAAAGCTGTGGGCATAAAATTTGATAATTGTTGTATTTGCACAGTTTGGCAGAAGCTTGTCACATCCTGGACCCACCCACTCCACAACATCATTGTCTGGAAGTGTAAGCACACCTGGTGTACCCAGTATTCCATCAAGTCTTCATAACATGGTAGGGTCACAAGGAGGGAACATGTCATCGCAGTCAGCAAGGTAAGAATGGTAACCTTAGGGTATGTGAAATGTCTGTTTTAATATGTTGTGGAAATGGAGTGTGAGTGTAGAACCTTTGAGATTTTAGTTACATATATATGTACTCCTTAGCTTTGTTATTGTGTACCTTACCTTGTGTGCTGAGTAGTGTTGAATGTGACTACAAATGTTTGCTTAAATTAAATGTTTTAAGAAAGTGAGATTCTTTGTTCCCACTGTTTTCTTTCATTGTGTTGTGCCTTGCATGACATGTTTTAAGCCACATGAAATAACAAATAATTGAAATAGCTTGTTGCTGTGATTTTATCATTGGACTGGCTTTTGATTGCTCTCAGGTGCCTGCCTACATTCTTTGATAGGTAAAACTGAAATTCATGAGTTGAGGCAGGAAATCAAAATTTTGATGTATTTAATTTTATGGCAACCAGGTTCTTTATAATTTGCCAATGAAACAGAAAAAGGTAAACAATACAAACAACCCGTAGCTCTAAGAACAAGAGAGGTGTAGATTAACAAATCAAAATAGAGGTTCTAAACTTGTGCAGGTTAACTGAAAAGTTTAGCCAGATAATGTTTTGAATTCATAATTTAATCTTTTTGTCCCATCTTACTAAGCTGCACCCGTATACGTAAGTGTTAATCTTGTTTATATGTGTTTACAGTAGAGGGATTTTGTCAATGGGGCCACGTGGAGTGATGGGGCAAATGCCTCCTGGTCCAGGTCATTTAGGCAGCCAGAGTGCACTCAATAGCCTGCCAAAGACAAGTAGAACAATATCTATGCCATCATCTTTATCAAGGTAAGATGACATTACAGCTACTGTGAGGTTATTGATAGTTTTCAAATTGTTAAGCACCGTAATGATTCAATTTAGTGTCTGGGGTGCTAATTTACTTTTGGCAGCCCAAGGCAGGGCTCTTAATGGGATGGGGGCACTTATCAGGGACAGGCTACTTTTTGTTCTTCGAGCTTATACAAATGTACACCTGACTGTGGTACAATACTTTAACAAAAAACAACAAGTCACGATGTGATAACTTTCATTCTGATGAGACAGCTTACTTCATCATTCATTCATCCAATCAGTCTATTCTGTAACAATGTCTTGAATGTTAATTTCACTATGGGGGTGCTTATTGGGAGGGTGCACTAAATTGAATCATTAACGGTAACTTTTGAAATTATGACAGCCACATATGGTATTAGTCAACAAAAGAAGCAATCCATAATCAAACATGGCAATGATAATGATAATAATGACAATGGCAACAATTATTGTTAGATGTTTCCCAAATTAAAATCAATTTTAAATCAGAAGGAGATTATAAAGCTTACAATCTTTCAAGAAATTTCCTGGCTTCTTGTAAATTCAAGACATTTGAGGTTGGTCGGGCCAATATTCACCATGTGCCCTTGTTTATATCCTTCATAACCTTTAGCGGCTCATCAAGAAGTTCACCAGTACTAGCAATCGGAATGACACCACCACAGGCACCCCAACAACAACAAACACATCAACCGAGAGGCTTTAACCTTGGGGGGTAGGTATTGAACCGTTGAAAGGAGAAAATGTAAAATGACCTATTGTTTAGGTGCACACTCCTTTAGGTTGCAATGAAGGGTATTTCAAGAACTGAAATACATATTAAAAAATGTCATTCACTCATCCACTTGACGTGATCTCTGTCTTACTGTTGTTGTAGTAGTTCTAGCAGTTCTGTGTCTGGTCCCATGTCAAGTTTTGGTCTTACAAGAAGTCAGTCAACTAGTGGAATGTCACAGGTACATGAATTAACAAATTAATAATATGTCCAAGGGTTTGTAAATTAAAGTAAAAGTTCTCTTTCACTGTTATTCAGCTGAAATTTAAGTCATTTTTATCTTTTTACAAATGATGAGGTGGTTCTTTGAACCTAGCTAACGTGTTCATTCCTTTTTTTTTCAGGGTATGGGTGGTTCAGGGCTTCCTCTTTTTTCAGGAGCATTTGCACCATCAGGTAGCAATTGTTTTTATTAATGTTGCATCTCTAGCTCTCCTCCCATTTTTTTTTTGTTTCCTCTAACTCTTGTTTTCATTTAACAAAAATCGATATTCATTTACAGGTAATATTAAAAGATGACTAGCATCTCACTTCTGCACTAATTTTCTCTTCTCATTCAGGTGCGCCTGATTCACCTAAATCTCTTCGGCATATTTTCTCAGGAGCAGGACAAGGTAAACACTTTCAGAATAAATGTTGGTGCACATTTATCTAGTCATAGTCACCTTGTGATTTTGTTTGCCTTGGAAATCCCCTGCAGTTTCTTACCCAACTGGAAGGGAAATTTCATGTTTTCAGAAGGCTAAGACGCGATGAAGAAAAATGATATCCATTTTTGTTTTTGATTTTCTTGTCATGATCTCATGTAGACTCTATCAAACAAAAAAAACATATCTGTCATATACACTTTAAGGGCCAGGCACTGGTTAAGTTGACTGGCTGCAAGGCTTGTTTTCCTTGCCTGGTTTGACCATCTGGAGAACGTTTTCCTTATAAAGAGCCTCAGTTGAAAGCGTTTTGCCTGCTTGTGAAAACCAATTGCCATCCTGCTGAAAACGAGAATAAAACCCCCGAGTAAGTAGTCAAAACATTGGAATCTGCAGTACATCCCATAATGATTGCACTGTAAGAGAAATCAAAATATACTCTGGCATTAATGTGCTGTGTCAAGCTGAACAGTGATAATCTTTTTAACTACAGTATACCACTGCAAAGGGAATATAGTAAAGAACTCAATGCAGAATCTGCCATTAGTTAAATGACATTTATAACTGCATTTCCTGCAGGCCTTTCTGATTTAACACCCGGTGGTTCCAGTGGGTTGGATCTTTCAGAGTTTCCTGCACTCGCAAACAGAAGCCGACTAGAGAATCTAAGCCGTGTGGAGGGCGTGGCACGTTTGGACAGTATAGGGGGTGTGAGTGCACCTCCCAGCAGCTTGCCTAGCAGGCCAAGCTATGGTGTAGTATCTAAACCTGCCGAGCCTCCACCAGACTTTTCAATTCATAATGAAGACTTCCCTGCTCTGCCTGGTTCAAATACGTTCAAGTCAGGTAGTACAACTTAAATTGTTACGTCTATCTTGAAGTGATGTTAATTTGAAGAAAAGCACTTGTTGATCCTGCAAGGAGGTTAATTCCTCATTCAGCTTTTAGCTCCTCCAAAGGCTTCTCGTTTATTTATTTTTACTGCTTTTCTATATCACCACTTCCATTAGTATCATAACTCTCAATGAATCTGGACTCAACATTGTTTATCTTTGACCTGGGTGCCTGAGAAGAGGGTCTAACATAGGCTTTTTATATCCCGCATCCCGTCACTAGTTTTGGCTCAATTTCGCCCCACTCGGAATGTTTAGCCCACTCTCGCCTGGCTAGAGTTGCAGCTCTCCGCGTACATATCGTAACGTGTAATTTTTTGTTTTTAAAACTATCCCGCATCTCGCCAGTCAAACTGAGCAAATCCCACTCCCACCGCAGTATTTTTTATCCCGCATCCCTCCATTAAAATTTCTGTCGTTCTGCATCCCGCCTCCATTTCTATTCGTTGCCCGCATCCTACCAAACCTATGTTGGACCCTCCGAGAAATCCAAGGGCTTTTGCTGTCACCAAGTTACTATATCGTTTCCAAAGGAAATAAAATGTACAATTACACTCTGAACGAGCAATGAAAAGGAGGAGGCAGGCAAAGGATACATGTCCAAACGAACAAGAATTAAAAATTACAAAAAAAAAAAAATGCAACACACTGACGCACTTTATACATTTTACTTCAAAGGAACCCAATCTGAGAATTTGACACCGCTGATGGTGACACATGCATTTTGGCGTCAACTTACGTTGCATGTAGTTTAGTTTTATGAAAGGTTTTTGTCAGAAAGAACTTGGGATATCCCTATTATTTCTAAATTTGAAACGTATTCTTATAGAAAACCAAACAGAAAGTTCTGTGGCCCAAGATCCATCCAAACCTCAAGTAAGTACACTTTGAATGTATAAACAGCTAAAACGTTATGTGTTTAGTCAGTTTATTCATGTTTTAGTGTTAGGGTATTCAGTGGAAGCCTCGATTTTTCGAACCCCTAGCCTGTGTCTGGCTCTCGGTCAGTGGGGACGATCGAAAAAGCGGGCAGTCGACGTGTGGGACTCCCGATAACACGAACCAAAAGTCCCATCCCTCCCCTTAGTCGAACACTGTAATTTTTCTCCCTATTTCTCAAACGGCCCAGTTTTTCAAACAAGTTTTCGTTTCCCTGGAAGGTTCGAAAAATCGGGATTCCACTGTATTCGTAACAGAAAATACTCAATTGTACATTTCATTTCCTTTTAAGATGCTCAGCACAAGCTCAAGCATTTTTCCTGGAACAGGTGACTCTTCCGCGTTTTTTTGTTTTTTTTTTTCACTTTATTCTGTCGTTTAGTCTATCTGATTCCCTTTAACCGCAAGTAGTACGATGAACCAATCAGGCTCGAAGCGCGGAGAAGTGCGAGAAACTGAGGCCGAGTACCCTTATAACATTTGGTTGATCAAAGAGACACCACCTTCACGGTGACTGATTAGAAAGAGCGTTGCACGAGTTTCATAACCCTTAAAGATTTGAGGAGACTACTTCATTAACTTTTGCTTGTTTCGTATGTATGATTCTCAGATCTAAGAGGAGGCTCTTCCTATGAACAAGCGTTAAAAGACGTTGCGAAAGACGCGAGGTAAGTCTCTTCTCTAAGTTTCTTTGGGTCTTCAATGAAGTTGCAATTTCTTAACCATGAACGCTAACAATGTTTAAAAGGCCAGGAAAAGTGACTTGAAGTGAATCGAATTATATTTTATCATTGTAATGTCCCTACATTCCCCCAATGTCTTTAGAACTGAAGTCCTTTGAGTTTTCCAGTTCAACCCAGAGGGTTATCTGGTATTAATTTAAAAAAAGTTATTCAAAAGATTTTAGTGAAAGTAGTGGTGGCGAAACCTTTCCAAGCTGTGCTAACAGACATTTTTTGGTGCAGATTTGCAGCAGGAGAGGCAAAGTCAAACTCGTCAAATCACAAACAACCACCGAGAGGAATTCAGACGTCACCTTCAGGTAAATTACCAAGTCATCTGATATCGCAGGTGGTTATGAAGTATTTGAGAGCTTTTCGGCACCTTTTGGAAAATTTACACGTCAGCTTGTTACGTTGCTTAGCAACACTGACCCCTGCGACTTGCCCCCAGCCCCTGTCATTCCGTTCTTGGACACGAGTTTCTGAGTTTCCCGGGGGGGGGNATGGGGGTGTGCGGCTCGCTTCCCAAAACCCTTACCCTATTTAAGAGCAAAATCTGCGATTTTCCCTACCCTATTTATGACCTGACAAAATATTTTATACTTTACTTAAGACCTGACTCTCAAATCAATACCCTGTTTCAGACCTGTCAGACCGATGTTAAAGGCATTGTGAAGGGAATTTGTTGATGGTCTTATCGATAATGATGAAAAAGTAGCTTCAGACATATCGAATGCAAGACTAGAGTACAAAAACCATACCTTATTTAAGACCAAAATGGCCAAAATCGATACCCTATTTATGACCAAAACGGTTGAAAAACAATGCCCTTTGAGGCCGCACATACATAAGGAAGTACCCCCTGGGAGGGGTCATCGTGGCAATAAACCATCGTGATGACGTTAAGAAGGTTCATTCCCTGTTCCTATTGGGTCATTTGAGTCGGAAATTCCCTAGGGACTTCTAAGGCATTTGGTTTCCCTACTTGATGCATATTTTTGGCATTTGTTTTGTCTACGTCCTACGTGGGATTTTTGTTGGACTATTTTTTTTCCTAGCTTGCCGTCTTCTCTTTCATAATCCTTTTGTCGTATTTGTGTTTCAGGAATGATCTCAAACATTCCAAAAGGAATGGTAACGGATCAGTTTGGAATGATCGGACTGTTAACGTTTATCAGGGCAGCCGAGACGGAACCAAACCTTGTCACACTAGCGCTTGGAAGGTCAGTGTCACTAAGCCTAACGCTGCACGTTCAATAACTCGTATTGTCTTCGTTGAGTTATGTCACTCACTTGGCTTAAACATTTTCTTTTTAATTCTTCAGTGACCTTACGACGTTAGGACTTAACTTAAATTCACCTGAGTAAGTAGAAGTCTTTCTTTTTTAACTCTGGCTGTCGAACCCGAGGAGTTCTTATTTTAAAGAGAAGAGAAATGTCCGCACAGCCGTTATTGTATATTTTTATGTCGACTATTTTTTTTGCTTTTTGTAAAAAGCCCCAGCGGGGGAATCAGGACTGTCTTCAATATAGCGACGTTTTGTAGTCACCTTTTCTCTTAAGGGCTGGTTTTCACTAGCGTATAAGCATAAGCATACATTTACAAGATGTTGTTACGTTTCAGGAGCCTTTATCACACGTTTGGTTCACCGTTTGCGGACAGTCCGTGTAGACCACATGAAATAGGTAAGACTTCACACGCTAGCACGCAGTAAACTGACTGACTGTTTGGCAGTGTTTTCGTGATCTGTTTCTTTGGTACCCCCTCTTGGCGTAGCCCGATTTGACACTTATTAAGTACAGGGATTCAACATGAAACATGACTTGAATTCTTCCCGCTATTCCTGTCAAAGCGAGGGAGAAGAAACAGCTGGCTCTGTGGGCAAAGTTGGCGGTGCCTCGGGGAACAGCAAATTTGTCAAACATTTGCGGCAATATGTGTCGTAATACGTTGTCAAACAGAATATCGGACAGCTAAACTGAGCACCCTTCCTCAAGGCTTGTACCACCCAGTGTGGATTCGTGTGAATGGAGAACGTAAATAGCGTGGAATTAAAACTAGTTGGTGCAATTAACGACCTTGCCAAGAAAACCACTAGATTTCTGTGAGCTGTTAGCTTCTGGTTAACTTGATTTTCCTTCTCCACAGATTACCACGTTCCGTCGGAGTACCGGATTAACTCATTTATAAGAGATAAGGTAATAACAGTTACTCTTCATACTGAGTTTCCCCAGGCAGGAAACTTTCATACATTTTGTGTGGAGGTCACTCGCTTTAAAGATGGGCAAGCTTATTTATTCCCATACAGACGGCTTTTTTTCTCGCCCAGTACATGTAGGGGCTATTCGAACATGAAAAGCATGCGCAAAGCCTAGAAGGCCATTTTCCGACTCGGTCAGCTGGAAAACATTATTTTTATGTAACGTTTGTCAAACGATGGCTCGGAGGGGAAACGAGAGGAACCTTCCTACACGAGACAACTATTTTTCGCTTGACACAACTGTCCCGGCAATAGTGTGAGCAAGCCCCTCTTGTGGTTATCTAGTTGGCACATTTCTTGGGTATGATGATCATTCTTTTGTGTACTTGCAGCTTGCTCCCATAAAACTAAGTCGGTACGGTGAGGATCTGCTGTTCTATCTTTATTACACCAACGGAGGAGATATTCTTCAACTGGCTGCTGCGGCTGAACTGTGAGTATTGAAAAGTTATTTGCATTGAATTTTTGCGTTTGATTTAACCCAGGGATTTAATGCAGCTCTGTCTCATCTTTCGTAAGTGCTTAGACTAAGAAACACCTCATTTTAAGTCACATCCGTGGCTTTTTCTTGATGTCCTCTACGCTTACAGCTAAACGATGGAAGTTGTAAGCCCTTGTCACGTGAATAAGTCACTCTCTGATCACGTGCGCGACCTGTCTTCTCATACCTCATTTGTCTTTTCCCTTAGGTACGCACGTGACTGGCGGTATCATAAAGACGAAAGACTATGGCTAACGCGAGCTCCAGGTGTTGAACCTCAACTGAAAACGAGTTCGTACGAACGCGGTACATACTACTTCTTTGACTGTAGTTCGTGGAGAAAAGTGGCCAAGGAATTCCTCTTGGAGTACGACAAACTGGAAGACAAACCCACGCTGCAACCCGTTTCTGCGCAATAGATGGTGTACAAGGCCTGTGGTCAGGCGTTCTGTTTTTCTGCGGTGGCGCAACCGTGAAAAAAAGAACGCCTGATCGCAGGTTGTTTGCTTGAATTGCGTTCATGACAATGAGATTCCTCTGTACACTGTCTCTGTAATAATACGCTGGTCTTGTTAAATATACGTGTAAAAAACTATTCCAGATGTGAAATACCGAATATCAATAAAAGAGACTTTTTGAGCAATTTGATTTCGTTGATTTGATCTTTACCTATTTATTTTTGTATTTAAATTTTGTTTATTTAATCTTGCACTCATGTCACTGGGTGATTTTGCAAGAATCCAATGGTTTCCAAAGTAGCGATAGCATTTCATTGTTGTTACAAATTCTATCTGAAAAGAGCGACCCTCCTAAGTGATTACAGAAACGATCATCTGAAAATAGTGACAATGACCTTAAAGGTAATTTGAGTTGTAATATAGTAAACGAGGTTTACTGCTCTGATACAAACTGTAATTCCATTATTAATTTATAATGGTAATAGGACTGAGTGGAGTCCAATTCGGTCTGTAATCATACGAGTGATTAACAAAATCGGACGACCGAGAAGCGGGAGTCCGATTTGTTAATCACGAGTATGATTGCAGATCGAATTGGACGACACAATTTCCTGTTACCAATTAATCGAAACTAGGACAAAATTTGAGAAACGAACAAACCGTCGATTGATCGCTGAACGATTAAGGTGGCCGAACACAGTTTTCGCGCGCGCTTTTGCTGATGCAATTCTGCGCGCGCACAAGGATTGCAAAAAACAAGCATGCCGTCAATAGAGCGATCATTTTATTTACTCAACACCCGCACTATCTGTGCTATTTTCTCTATAATTGAACGCAGTGTATTGATGGCTTTAGT